TTTTGACTTCATTAAAACCGAAGACTCGCCCTCCCTCTGAACTAGTTAGTCTACAAATAGCGGTCAATACTATAAGACTTAATTAGCTCAACACGCTACTCTAACATTGAGTCTCTTAAGCAATCTCATATGCTAGTCGTTGCTAAATTCCCAAAGGAAGCAGTGCGTAAATCCATATATTCATTGCCAGAGAAATTAAATCTATGTTATCTATAAAGTAGCCAAACGTGACTATTTTGAATAAAACAACTTTTAATATATTTTTTTAATAATTTGAAATAACAAACGATTATACAGTCCACCCGATGGTAACCAGCTATTGCAGCCAATTTGCAACCAACTTCAAATAAAGAAGACTGCAAACGCTTCGCACCATATTTTACCATAGGTTTCATAATATTTGACTAGAAACTATGTCTATGATTGCGATTCCCAAATACCTTTTTTATTTCCTACATAAATTATAGAAATAATAGCAATGCTATTGACATTACCTTAGAGCAAAGGATACCTGTGTTCTGTTAAAATTGCTTAAATTCCCGTTTATCACTCCAGGTAAGTTTCGTTATCTTCTGTGTAAGTCTCAAATCTCTGATATTTACTATACTGTTACAAATATATGCATGTACATATATGTATGTATGTGTGTGTATATATGTTTATATATTTAATTATGACTTTATATTATATTAAGTGTTTATGTATGTATTAATGTTTGTTTAAATATGAATATATTCATGTATTTGTGTATATATATATATATATATATATATATATATATATATATAGTATTTGAGCTGACGTATATATTTAATTTATACCCATATGTGCTGTATAATAACAAAGTGCACACCTTATATTCATTTAGTAATCATATGTGTTTGAAACTGGCCTACTGGAAGAAATTTCATTGTGAGATAAGTAGAGCCTTTGTACAAACTTTTTATCATGATGTGTCCTCTCCCCAACTTGTGTGTACATAAATTGTGAAATAAATAAATAAATAAGTTTAAATGCTTGCGTTAAGAAAGTTTCACGGCAATCGTTGATTGTCGGATTTGAACCCCCGACCTTTGAGATCGCGGTCCGGTACCTACCATTAGGCTTCTGTGGCTTAAATAAATATCCAGATTAGTGATAAGAGTTAAATCTCTCGTACAACGATCGGCAATTAAGTCGGATGCCAACAAAATGTATTTCAGTAATGTAGACAGAGGCCTACTATCAAAAAATAACGGTTTGCAAACTAATAACCTATCTACTGGCATTAATATTATATTTAATATTATTTCTAAGTACTATTTATTTTTAAAAGGTAAATTTAGAGAATGCTCAAAGCAGTAAATATAGACCGAAAAATACACAAAACCGAATTTTATTGGTAATTTATTATTAAACACAAAAAACGTAAAGTAATTGACAAATAAATACAAGAATGCTAATGTCCTCGTTTATAATAGTAGTGTAGTCATCAACTTAGAACATAATATTTTTGTATCCGGTAGCAACGTTTTAAATCTAAATAATGCTTTATGGTATATTTATTTTAATAAATAATACATAAAATAGTATTTTTTAAATTCCTTGTTAGTATCATTCTATACATTTTATTTCAATTAGCACATAAACAACTAATTGACTTAAATTTTAATAACCGTCACTGTTACGCAATCATCTTAAATATTAAGCAAGTAAATGAAACTAACATTCTTTTACAAATACATATTACCTAAGGCTCTAAGAAATATTTCACATATATTTATTATTCAAATTTAGTACGCTGTTTGCCCGGTAGATGTGAGAGCAACGTCGAAAAACAGACATTGAGAAGGTACCGAGTTAAGAAATCCACTATACAGATAAAATTTGCTTTAAATTGATTCTCAATTTGTGGGATTCTAGAGAAAACAGTAAAAAATATCAGAACTAAATTAACTAGAGTTGATAAGAAATTAGTTATGAGTAAAAGGTTGCCAATAAGAAAGTATTAGAAATACATTTTGAGGATATGAATGAGGATATGATGTGGTGTGATGGGTATGTGGATGAAGAAGACAAAACCTCTATAAAATACTGATTCAAATAAAGTTTAAGTTAAAGCAAGATTGTGTATAATATGTTATGACAATTAATAGCACATGTATTAGCTTCAGGAATGAGGATTATGTCTAAGCACCGAGTTCAGAAGCTACTATGTGGAAATTATAATATTTTTAACTTTTTAAGTCAGTTTTTACCTTTTATTAAAAAAAATATTCTGTAACTTCTACTTTTTCTTCTGTAATGACTCGTACTTGTTTGCTGACGTCGTAGCTGCTCTCTTATTTTAGAGCGGGTTCATTGTAATTTCGACGCTTGACTTAAACAGTTGGGTTAAAGATTGCAGTTTCAGATCTAGTGCACTTTAAGTTTGCTCCCCATCGCTGGATCTGGGTATTTTCCCTAGGTTTTACTGCCCTTTTTCATCAGCTCCTCCTACGATGCCCACGGGACAAAATGAAGTAAAAGATTTCTTACGTTGCATTTTTTTTTTAAATTTCAAAGTAATCGTTTTATAGGAAGGTTTTTGTAGATTTACATATCTAAGTCAGGACTTTTACATACCTAAGTTAAACTGCATTAACAACATTCCTTTTAAGCATAAAAGTTTTGTACCCGTTTGTCTACGTCAGCATCCTCGTTTGTTGTCAATCGTTCGGCATCTCCATCAAGTCTATAAGTTATTTCCTAGTTCTTGATATGCTGACTTTTTTCTTTCATTATTTTTATTCCGTCCATATATTGAAGTTAACGAAACAATGTTAAATCTGCCACCTCTTCAAGCGTCGCAAGTTTTAATATCTTATTTATTCGATAAAGATCACAAATGTAACTGTGATTGCATGTTATTTTTACTTTTATTTCGGTCGATTTTTTGGTCCGGAAAAAACCCTCTATCCTGGAAAGAACCAGAAATCTTGCAGAACTTTTTTTTCAAGGTAAATTATATCGTATAATTTAAGGTAAGAATGATTGTGGTACCAAACTACAAAATTTATTTTAGGAACAACTTGAAGCGGCCACCTCATTTCCAGGGGTTATAATCAACCATGTGTTCATTTATATTATTAAAGCCCTTTATATATATATTGTTTAGTATTATATTTAAACTTGTTAATAGAGTATATCTTCTGGGACTTTGCTGTAATAGCGCATACATTGCCCCATGAATGAATTACTGACTATGGAGTCGAGAAACTTGTATCACTAGCTTATGTTTGTTACTAGTGTTTACAGAGTTTATATCACTTTTTTTTACTAAAACTTCTTTTGTTTTAGAAAACATACATTATATTTTCGTAAATATACTGAGAGGTTAAAGTTAATATAATATTGTAAATAGCTCTTATGGCACTGTTCTGCAAAACAAAAATAGTTTCTAAATCAGCCGCATTTCCCCACAGCAAAGATAACATATAAATCATATTATATATATATATATATATATATATATATATATATATATATATATATATATATATATAACGGACTAGAATTATTAATAAAATTATTTTCACTAAGACCAGGTACAAAAAGTAAGTTAAGTATTATCAACTTTACACTTATGTACATTTAGCAGTTCTCTATAATTACATAATACTACTAGCAACGGCTATCAAAACGGAAAGGTGTTATGCCTCGTTGCCAAAGTGAGACTAATTTATGAGTTTTCTTTGGGCATATATTACGTAACCTAAAACTATTTTAAACTAAATTAACACAAACAAAATTAAGTAAGCTGCTACCATAGTAAAAACAAATTAGTAGGATAATTCCGCGCCGCGCGAGACCTAAATGCCTACTGTTGTAGGGTTGTCACTGTCTCTTTGTTTAACAGCTAAGTATGATTTAGTTTTATAAGTAGTTATAATATTTACAAATATAATACATACGGATACGTACCTATGCACCATATTTGTTAATCATTTCTTTAGTTTTCTCTCAAAGAATCAATGTTTGTCCAAAAAAATCCAGCTTTACATTACAACAAATTCCAAATAACTAAAATACGAGTAAATTAACATTGAGATATGCTCAAGATGTAGCTCAGATTTAATGTTTAAAATTAATTTGATGTGATGTGATGATAATAAATGTACTTATGAGAGTATATTTATGTATAGATATAGTAATATAACCTATTAATAAAAAGCTAATTTACTTAAATAAACTTAATTTATTTTACAAAAAGAAAAAATAAAACGAAAAAAGACTGCTAGTAAAATTTTATTAAAAGTCAACGAAGTCTCAAACAAAGGTAATTGCGGAGCGAGGCGGTTGTCGTACCCGACTCGGCCAGACCTTTCCGACTTCACAAGTGTCGTTGTGTGCGTGCTGTGGCTAGTGCGTACGAGCCCGTACTATCATGTGCCAGCCACGTACACATGTTAGCGGCGTTCAGTGCATTTCTTAGAAGATACCTACTATTCTGTTTTTACTATGCTGCTACGCAGGTCACCTCATTGCTCAACAGATTATCTATCTCTTAAGAGTGAATGCTACAGTGTTCGTTATCATATTATAGAAAGAGAAATTATTTAAAACAAAATATTTAAGGGCTAAGGAGCTCTACGTAGATTTTTTTAATTAAATTATTGCCATTACAGGCTACTTATGTTACTTCTTACAAGTAGGAAAAGTATAGGATGGCCCCCACTAGATGGAGTGATGACCTGTTAAGACATGCAGGAAATCTATGAAAACAGATAACCTATTACTGTTTTGTGGCGTTCCTTGAGGGATGTCTATGTTCAGGCTGTAATAAATGAATGAAAAAAAACCTGCTACTAAGAAGCTTTATATATCGATAATTAATTTAAGCTTAATTGATAAAAGTTAGTAAAGAACCTCATAATTATTCTAAAAGGCCTACCCTACTCAATATTAAAGTCTAAATAGGAACAACAAATATTTCTTTTCAGAACATGGGCAGATGAATGTACTGGAGTTGGTGAAGTGATATGAGGTGGAACACGCGGGTCACAATGCGGACTTCACGACATACTACAGACTAGCCGACACGCTCTCACTGCACTCCACTGTTTAGATTGAGGTAAGTCTCTTATATGTTTTTAAACATTCCTTTTCCATAACTCAGCAAAAACAAACTTAAATTTACTAATTATCATTTTAGAAATAAAAATTACACTTCGAATCAGCCGAACTCTCCGACCAATAAATAAAGAAAGACGGTGCGCTAAATAAATTTTAAGTAATTCTAAAACCATGCTCAACTTTTTGATATTGACCCACAAACACGTACTGCTTCTTTCTTTATTTAACAGCCCGTAAAAATCCAACTTCTGGATGCACTCACACTCGTATTTACCAAAAATCATGTTGATTATCAAATTATTTTAGATGTATTTGTGAGCATGGTGCGTATTATTACAATAAGTTAAGCATGGTTCCCGTGTCGCTAGAAATGTACGCAGCGCTAATTCAATCTTTCGACCAACAAATCTGAGGCCAAACTACTAATATATCAAAAGTAATCGATGAAGTTAATCGGCTAAATGTTAATTACTAAAAGGGAAAAGTCAGCGTTATTTTTGAATCAAAATTTTCGCAGACATATCTACTTTAAAATATATATTTTATAAATATGAAAAGTTAGCTCTACCACGTATTGCAATTACTGACTCTATTGAAATATTGCCGTTAATCTACTATAATATACATAGTATACAAGTCTATCTGATTTATTTAATGCCCATAGACACCTAGATCTATCTTAATCCAGACCCCTGAGCATTAAGATGAGAATTACCTCGTTACCAATAAAAGGGATCTTAAATCTGCAAAGCAACATTTAATTTTATTTTAATTTTATTGTCAGCATATTAGAACGAACCGAACAAAATTTTAATTAAGTACTATTTATATTACAATATATCAATATATAATAATTATTTAATTTAAAATACAAATAAAATATTTATTATAGTAATAAAAAAAATTAAAACTGAAAGCTAAATTCACCAAACGCTAGTTCTCTCGGTATAGTGCCAAGAACGCTGGCTGCATTTCCTCACTGAATGGCTGACCTTTGTGCGAGAAAAGAACCAGCCTTCTTGTCATCAGCAGTGACAACCAGTCGTGAGAACAGTTTCTATCGAAACTTTACCGTACTTAGACCCCACGTATCGACAGGCTACAGCAATACCATTTACTAAGTCCAGGCATCTCTGATTAAGGTACATACTGACCCTGAATAAGGTACATAAAAGTGTCTACACGATATGTCTCAAAGTACCAAAGTCATACCATCAGATCTCCTGCCATCGTCTCTAAATATTCCATTAAACTTGAAAACGGACGGAGCATTTACAAAGACAAGAGCCTTTCGGATAACTTCATTCAAAGAAACGTTACGGACAATCTACCAGCACATTTCTTAAATAAGAGCCTGAACAAGTTGGTGCCGCTACCATATGGATACTGATGAGGTTGATAAATTGTGGTTGATCAGATTCCTACGGCTATGCGTAAGTATTCTCTGTTAAATAATTTGGCGAGATGACTTCATGGTAAAACGTATAACCAGGGAATTAGTCAATTATTCAATCTTGTTCATCATGTATCAATCAGTCAATCTTGGTAGTTATGGAAATTATGGAAGAAATCCTACACACTCCATACTATGAAGTGTAGTGTATTTAATTTACCTTGCCTCCGCAGCAAAGCACAAATCAACTTTATTATTTATTATCGTGATGCAAAAATTGCAGACATTATGCACGTTAGGAAGGAAGGCGGGAAATTTATACGAAAGGAATTTTGTACGTGGTAGAGCCACGCTGCAGCTATATTACAGTTGTAGCACGATTAGGTGGGCTCAACTGGGACAGGACCACGCTCTGACAGAATACAAGCGTAAAACAGCAGCGTAATGCTGCTGTGTTGCGTATGGTGAGTATAGAGAACCGGACAACCTTTTTAATGGATTCGAACATTTTCCATTTTAGTAATCAGGGGTGACAACACATTCGCGTTTTGAACCTTAATTGAGGATAAATGTGAATGTTAATGGCCATAACATAAACTTACCATCAGGTAGACTATATGCTCGTTTGTCACCCAATACTATAAAAACAATGCAACACTAGAAAGCACGGATACCTCAAAATTTTATAAGAAAAAAAGCTTATGCAGAGTGTTTAAATTTGAATTTACGATTTTTTTCTATAGTTATTTAAAAAAAATATCCAAATATTTTTAGATTGGACTCGAGCGAAGTAAGTACGTCAATCTTGGTATAATCAGAGAATAGTTTAAAATAGTAAGAGAATTTATTTTTTAACATGTTTAACACTATCTATATGTAATGACAACAGGCCACTTAGCAAGTATCACGATTCCGCACGAATTTGTATTCCCAGAGAAATAACATTACATACTATCTCTGTTATAAATAGATGAGTTATTGTGCTGCCCTTATTATTTGGTTCGAGACCAATGTGTGAATTTTTGATTTTTTGTATCGTTGATTTTGATTTTAATTGTTTGGAATTTCAATTAGAAATAACTGGTAAATTTTCCAAACTAAAAAGAGCTGAACCTACTAAATCACCCGGGTGCACATCGACCATAGAATACTATAATACATATAAAAGAACGAGGGGATGGGCAGAGCCCGTGTAGCCACTAAAATGCCACTAACACGTCAACTCACACGTATAAAATGTCAACACGAGATGTGTTTTGACGTTACAATCGTTTGCAAATTTCGCATGCAAATTATTTAGAAAATGCCAAATTGCACGCTATTTACAAATAAATATGTATTAAAATTCCTCTGTCAACACAGCGGATCGGGTTTGTAGTGGTGATTAACTGATAATACGACGTAATTGCTTGTATGTGTGCTCCCGGCGACGCAATTTCTCGTACAAAATAAGGTTGACAGCCATTCCATTGTGTATTAGTATTCTATGACATCGACAGCTAAATCGATAATTTGGTTTTCCTAAAACAAGTTAGTATTAACTGTAACGTTGCCAAACAAATGATTAATTTAAAAATATTGTTATGCACTTCTTTCAGCAAAATTACCCTATTATAATATTCGTGAGATCTGCATCAGTGTTTATTAAAAACGTACGTATATTTACACCGCCGCTTCATAGCAACTTTTAGCGCAAAAGCCTAGTTGAATAGGCTGAAATTTTATCCTAAGGTTCGAAATTAAATGGATTTATAATAAAATCAATCAATCAATTATATTACGAGTATAAGTCGTGAATAAATTTCTTTTACATTTGCAGACATGTAACCTTAAAGTGAACAACTAGTTAAATAAAATTAAAGTCCTGCTAAAATGCCTGCAACCAAATTCAAGGTCACAGAAACGTTATCAACGCCAAAACTATGGTGAATAGCTACTAAACTAGTGGTAAATTAAATTATAAAACCCTTTTAATAACTATTTATGTCTCCGTAGATAGCTTGAATCCCTCACAGAACAATAAGTTGTATGGCCTGTGCATTCATTTCCTTATGCAGTTTACGTATATTAACTACCTACAAAAGGAGAAAATCGTAGAAAAAAATATATGATAAAAAAATTAATCTATAATCTAAGTATATTGAATAAAATAATCTATTTTCTAATATTACGTAACATTTGTCCCTTAAATACAATAATATTTTTGAAATATCATCACAATTCATTAACCAATATGTCTTAGCTTCATCAAATATATGATATGTTTAAGTATAGTTTTTCGATCGCTAAATGATTACAACGTTAATCCCTGTTTATCATACTTATAGTTTCATTGTCACCAAATATACTGTGACCCCTTTAAGTCAAGAGAAACGCTCAGTTTTGTATGCCAAGGCCATTGAACAAATTGGCATTTTTACAGCGAGAGTTTGCGTAGTAGTCACGAATTATCAAGAATTTTATTACAAAACGATTTGACGTGTGACACTTTCAGCAGCAAACACTAGATCATGCCGTATTGTCGCCCTAATCGAAATCGACATTTGCAAAAAGCTCTGAATTGCAAATTGACAAAAAAACATAAATCTAAAAGTTTTACTAAGACGTACTGTAACTTTATCCTCAAGCACTTACAGGCTACAAAATATCGGTAATTTACTTAGCAATTCTCACGAATTCTATGAGTGGTAGGTTTACAAAAGTCGATACAAAGCATGTGAACTGTTATTTTTTAAACCATTACGACTTGATGCCATTTATGCATACTTATAATTAATATGTTTCATTTTCCTTCAGCGTATTTAAAATATATGGTGTTTTATTTTAATCATCATTTTAAATTACAGCGACATTAACTACGAGTATTATTTAATCTGTGCTACTGGTTAAAGGCCGCAATTTAACTTCTGTCGTAAACCACTCCTATCACAAGCATTTTAAGCTTAGTTAGTAGATAACGAGAGTTATTAGTAGTTTTTATATCATTGTTAGTATTCTTGAAAAGATATTAAAAAAATATCACTTTGTCAATCGTAAATCCATTGCTTCTTCTCTCTTCTATCATTAAAGGGAAATATAAACTCAAATGGCTGAGCAAGATCCTTTGTTATGCTGAAAATATTGCAGCATTCATTTTGAAATAAATATATGGTAAAGTTGAGGATTAATGTTAAGGATTATGTTAGACGAAAACACGATTTCGCAAAATTTTCTCGATAGAAAAAAAATCCAAAGTTACCTCCAAAATAAACAATAAACCGCTGTTATTCATAAAATACTTTAAATAAAATCATGAAACTTTGCATACTAACTGAACTAACTATAAAGCAGTGCTTATGTTATTTACTTTTTTTAAATATCATTATTTTCACTGTAAAAAGAAATTACCTAAACTATCGGCCTCTTGAAGCGTGATTCCTGCCATCCGGTCACTTCGCTTCGGCCTTTGAAGGGGGAGGTTGTGTCGCTTACGATCAGAATATACATTACGCAACAGGACGACGTAAAATTAAAATGGAGAATAACCGTAATAAAAATAAGAAGCGACTGGCTTGACGTTAAGAAACAGGCATAAATATTATAAACCTAATGAAATAACCTAACCT